GTGGGTGGGTGGGTGGCTGGCACCTTGAAGCCCTCTCCCACGGCCGGTGGCAGCCCGCTGGTTCCGAGGTTCGCCCTGTGGCTGCTTTAGTGCCCGCCCCTGGCTTTGTTGTTTCCACTAGAAGAGGGGCCACAAGCAGGAGGGCGGCCTTCCATCCACGGAGCCCTCCCTCCCTCCCTCCCTCCCTGACTGGGGAAAGGGTGAGGGGTGTCCACCCACCCACCCAAGCCGCTTCTTGCGCCTCTCGCCCTGGCGTTTGGAACAGCCCAGACTACCGGCCGGCCGTAGAGCCTCTCTGGGACCCAGGCAGGAGGAGGCTAAGAGTCCCCCTCCGTGGTGGTGGTGGTGGTGGTGGTGGTGGTGGTGGTGGTGGTGGTCTCTAGCCCTCGCTTACCTGGTGCAGGAGTGCTGCTCCGCTTGAGATCCTGAGGAGACAAAGGACCAGTCCTGAGCCATTGGAGGGCAACCTGTTTGAATGGTTCTCACACACACACACACACACACACGTGTCTCTTGTGGGATCAGCCACGGGAAACACACGCAGCAGCAGCTTATGAGCTGGAACCTGACTGCAGACTCATTGAGCTGGCAGAAAGTACGGGGCCTGGGGGTGAAGGGCCAAGCCCTAAGCACACGGGGATGGTCGGTCGGTCGGTCAGTCGGGGCTCTGGCTGAGGCAGAACAAAAGGGGGGCACCATCTCACATCTTGCTGGAATGTCCCACCTTGGAGGTTCGCAGTATCTTCCGCTTGAGGCGGGAAGAGTGGAACAACCTTGGGGGGGGGGGGGGGGGGGCTACCCAAACGGGCAGGCGGTTATAAGTTCTCAGGACATGGGGGAGTGGGGTTTGCGAGTCTGTTTCTTCACACACACACACACCCCCGTGGGTGGTGAGGGTCCTCTTCTCCTCTCTCCCAGTGTGAAAGCCAGCTGTTGACTATGGTTGTGATGCGTTCCGTGTGGGTCCTCCTGCCTCAGCGCTCAGGGTTAGGGCCCTTGAGGGTTTGTCGCAGGATCTGCACAGGCGCGGGGGGGGGCCCCCCTGAAAGACAGGCAGGCTCCGGGCATCCGGAGTGGCCAGAAGGGACAGAAGGGGGTGAGCGGTGGCCAGCCGTGCCAGGTGTGGGTGGGGCAGCGCACAGAAAGGGCTGGTGGTGGCTGAGGCTGCGTGAGCCCCGTGGCTAGTGGCCCGCAAGGAGAGACAGTGAGTGGCTCGGAAAGCAAAGCCCTCCGGCCCACTGCAGAGGTCAGCAGAGCTGTGGGCTGGGGCAGTTGGCCTCCCTCTTCCCAGGCCCTGGGGTGGGTTAGGGTTTGGACTGGAGGGGGGGACAGGTGTGGCTAAGCGGGGGTGAAGGGGTAGGTGGCAAGGTGGTGGAGCACTGGGATCCTTCCGGCCGGGAGTGAGTTCAGGAGCCAGCCCGGCCAGTGGCCCAGGAAAGGCACAGGTTCCTTCTTGGCGTGGTGCCCGGGTCAGGAAGTCCAGGAAACTGACTACCTCTGGGCACCCCTGAGCTCCCATCGTGTTGGCTGTCTCCCCGTCCGCGAAGAGACCACCCACCCCCACCCCCTCTGTCAGCCGGCTGGCAGCGAGAGCTGCAGTATATGGACACTGTTAGGTGCAGAAGTGTGTGTGTGGGGGGAGGGGTTTGTTTTGTTTCGCCAGACTAGGTGTTTAGGACCTGGATTCAGGTTTAAAAGAGGCCTCACTCCTGCTCTGGACAAGGGCCTTACCGTATTAGCTGGCTTATTTCCAGTTCCTTTCCTAACGATTCCCAGCATGGAGCTTGCCTTTTCACCTCCGCCACACACTCAGTTGCGGAATTCATTGAGCTGTCCACCACGACCCCAAGATCTCTTCCCCTCTTAGTCTCAGCCAGTTCAGACCTTGTCAGGGTATATCTAAAGTTAGAATTTTTTGTTTCCGTGTGCATCACCTTGCACTTTCTTGCTCTGCGATTCATGTATTGCCCCTTACCCAGTTCTTCACAATCCGCGGTGGTTTTTGCCGTCCTGGATAATTCAGTATCATCTGCAAGCTTGACCGCTGCCCTGCTCTCTACCCCCCTGCTTCTAGATCGTGTGTGAACAGGTGAAATAGCGCCGGCCCCTGTGCCCGTCCTCGTGGGGACCCCACTGCTGACTTCACTCCGTTGTGGGAGCTGTCCACGGATTTCCCACTCCTTGCTTCTTGCATTCAAGCTAGTTTTTGATCCATCAGAGAACTCATCCTCTTATCCCAGGACTGCTAAGCTTACCTGGGAGTTTTTGGAGAGGTACCTCAGCAGAAGCCTTTTGGACACCTGAAATGTTTTCTATGGGTTCCCCCTTAGTATTCATGTTCTTCTTAAACTGTTCAAAGACCTCTGAGATGAGGGTGAGGCAGGACTTCCCTCTGCAGAAGCCATTCTGATTTTTAACCGGCAGGCGTTGTTCCTTGACATTAATTTTCTTGGGAGAAGACAGTTTAAGGAAACTGGCCTCTGTGCTTCCCTGCATTCTCTATTGACCCCCTTTTGAAAATTGGCATGACGTTGGCTCCGTTCCTGTTGTCTGGTGTAGAGGCTGATTTTTACCTACAAAGTCACACACACTCTCATCAGCCCAGTTTGACTCAGTTCTTCAGACTCCCTTCCTAGAAATAGTAGGTGGGGCGTGGGCACGTGCCCCACACTTTTCGCAGTGGCCACAGGTGCAAAGAATCCGTTCAGTTTCTCTGCCAGCCCCCCTTCTTCCTTTAGCAGACCTGTTCCGTATTCATCCAGAGGCCCAGCCCCATTCCAGTCTAGTCTCCCTCTCCTGACATTTGAAGAAACGGTTGCTGTTTCTCTCAGTATTTTTGGCCACTTGCTCCTTAAATTCTGGTTTTCCTTGCCATATTGTCAGCTTACGATCATTATGCCAGAACCTGCACTCCTGTCCGTGCACCTCGTTCAGGAAAACCTTCCACCTAAAGGAACCTGTGGCAGTCAGGCCCCCCCCCCCCGATCTCCTCCAGGGCTCTGAACCCATCCTTGTGATCTTGTCTGGCAGTCAGAGCCCACATGGAACTCCACCGGCTGGGAGGGGGTGAGTCAGACGGGAGTTTGGTAACTCTGGATAAGAGTGTCGGTTTAACCAGCTTTTTATTTGGCTTTTAGTTAGGGCTTGATGTTGGCTTAGGGCAGAAAGCTTGTTCTGGTTAGACAAAAAAGCATCCTTTGAGGGGTCCAGCATTCCTGGTTTACATGTACAGATTCTGTGGGTGGGAGCTCTCATGATAAAAGAGCAACCTTGAACCTGGAGAGGATCCTGTCTGTTGCAGGAATTGGCTACAGTGAAACCTCATCATCTAAAGTAACTGGTCTGCAGAAAGGGGAACCACATCCCCTCATTTGGTTTCTGTGCCTTCTCCCCATCTAGCTGAAGCAGTCTTTTCAGTTCTTTGTCATCCAAAGGCCCAACCACCATTCAGTCCAATTTCCTGCTCCTGGCATATCTATTTAACTTTTGTGGTAGAATGGGCCTGCTTCGGCCTGCAGGCCCTATTGCACCCTGCCGTCCAAGGTTTTCCCAACACCTGGAGAGGTTTTTCTTTCTCTCTTGGGTAACCACTGCCACCACCTGACCTTTGTAATCCCAGCATCCCTTCCAGGTTCTGAGGCCTTGCCTCTGTGTCTCCCACTGCTCAGTGCCTGGTCATCCTGGGGACCGTTTACTGCCTTGCGTGCTCCTGGAGGAATAGCTGCTTTCCCGTGTCCGAGATGGCGGAGGTCTATGTGGTATACTTTTAGCACAACACCAGGTTGAGCAAGGGATTCAGAAGAAATGGGTAGAATACAGTGCCTCTGCCCCTCTCTATATACATGTCCTATCAGATGGTAAAATATAGGGCAGGCTTAGAATGTTGTAGATCTCTATAGAGTGACCATTACCTTGAAGCTTCCTCTGTGTATCTAGGCTAGCACATGGTAATGGCTGCCTCCTACGGATCTGAGTTATGAGTTTTGTCTGCTCTGTTGGACTCAGCACAAAAGAGACCTTCTGCCTTGCTCCCCTGAGTTGTATCACCTCTCTTTTCCCCATCCACTGTTTGGGCTCTCATGTAAATACATGTCATCGTCTTTTAATTTTAATTGTTCTTAAGCATTTATTGTAATAATTGGTTTTAAGGTTTATAACTTCGATGTTACCTGCCCTGAGCTGGCTTGCGGGAAGGGTGGGATATGAATTCAACAAGCAAACAAATAAATAAATAAATTACAGAATTAAGAGAAGAATTCAAGCCAAAATGGAAGGCAAAGTATACTGTAAACAATACAGAAAGTAGGTTACAAAGTATAAGGTTGTTGTTGTTGTTGTTCAGTCGCACAGTCGAGTCCGACTCTTCGCGACCCCATGGACCAGATCACGCCAGGCCCTTCTGTCTTCTGTTGTGCTCCGGAGTTTGCTTAATTTCATGTTCGTTGCATCGATAATACTGTCCAGCCATCTCATCCTTTGCCATCCCCTTCTTCTTTGACCTTCAGTCTTTCCCAGCATCAGGGTCTTCTCCTCCAGTGAGTGCTCCCTTCTCATTTGGTGGCCAAAGTATTTGAGCTTCAGTTTCATTATCTGGCCTTCCAGGGAACAAGTCAGGGTTGATTTCTTTTAGGATTGACTGATTCGATCTCCTTGCAGTCCAAGGGACTCTCAAGAGTCTTCTCCAGCACCATAGTTCAAAAGAATCTATTCTTCAGCACTTGGCCTTCCTTATAGTCCAACTCTCGCAGCCATACATGACTACTGGGAATACCATTGCTTTGACCATGCGGACTTTTGTTGGCAGGGTTGATGTCTCTACTTTTTATCATGCTGTTGAGGTTCGCCATCGCTT